AAGGCCAGTTGCTGGAAGCAATGTTCGGCATTGTTGCTTTTAATTAAAAAATTCCAGCACTAAAGTTCTCTCCATAAACTGGGTTCCCTTCAGTTTCTTTGTACTAATAGAGCTTTGTTACTTTTAATTTGTAAACTGGAGTTCTTAACATTTCAAATCAAAGCAGAGTAAAGCACAGTTACGGTAGTTTGTCAAGATCACTGGGAATTTTATGACAAGCTGTAGTCACTATTCTTTAGGAGTCTAAAGAACTGAATCTTTTTTAATTGCAATAAGGCTGATAATTGTTGTAAAAGGCAAATTACTTGCCCTTTCTAGTCTTTTTTAATTTCTCACAGCATTGCTTTTGATAAACCAGCCACTTCCATTCATTTCCTTATTGTCCTATAGGATGTTGTGGTACCATTTGTACAAAGCTATCCACAGTCAAAAGTTGACATGCAGATCTAAAGGTGAGAGTGCATGTGTGCGCGTGTGCCTGTGTGTACATGAGAATGAGGGGTAATTGAGGTGCTTTATCCCTGAGTTTTTACAAGGGACTAATGGTGCATGTGGTTGCTGTGGAAACCTTTGTTTGAGTATAACAGCACAAGGACTTCCATTCCTCCACACAGTATGCATATATGCACCACCCGTGTGTACACACACACACACACACACACACACACACACACACACACACACACACACACACACACACACACACACACACAAAGATTGCACCCTCCCTCTCTGTCATATGAGAGCATACTTTTTGCATCAGTGATTTAAAAAGAGGCAGCAGATACATAATAAGAGTCCTTGGATGCTACAGCAAGCAGCTAGCTTTTTAATCCGTTTTCTGCCTGTGAGGCTTGAATATCTACCAACACATAGAAGTGTCAGGGTTTTTGAATTTGGCCAGATCTCAGAATTGATGCTAAACAAGTGCAAGAAAAAGGCTTCAGTTCATCAAAACACACACAGTGATGTACACAATGTAACTCGCACACACTCACACATCTTCCCAGGTGACCTGTATTCATGCTGTGAGCGTGTTGGTAAATTGTTAATATTGCAAGGTGCATTGCAGCTTATACATTTGAATGGATCTTAAATTACATTTTAAATTTAGATGAGCTGTTTCAGTTAACTGACAAATGTGTTGTCCTGCTCGCCGAGGGAGGCTCAGGGCATCTAGTTCCTGCAGAGGCAGTTCAGGAAGGAACAAGCAGCCAATCAAAATGCACTTCACTTCATTTTTGTGCGCTGCTCTCATGCTTGGTTTTGATAATCACACACCCTTTTCAGAGCGCTGAGAGGTGTATCATGCCTGTATGTGTGTTATACATTTTTTTTATCCATAGCCTCTGCGAAAAATAATTAACTGTCTTTCAATCAAGCATATCCATTAAAGAAGATAATCATTCTAGCAGAAATGTAATCAGACTGAATGTTTGATGATGCTTCTGCAATTTCTTATGTAAACTTCAGCATTTACAGAACCCTCTTCTCACACAAAATACCTATTGGTTATTGTCAATAGTGTACTGTACCAACTCGGCTCTCCCACTGACTATGTATAAATATCCATAATCTATGCAAATAATGACAAGCAGATACATGCTGCATGAAAGTATGAGCCTGTAAATGTTTGCACCCACTAGTCAACACACGAAATCCAGCCACGGAGGGGGCCACAAGCCAGTGCCAGTGGGGAGGGCTGCATCGAGAAGGCCGGAAACAAGATTTCCAGACTGGATTGGTCAGAACCCAGGTTGACGACAACTGCCTCGAGCGCTGTTGGCCTAGAAGGTGTCAGTGGAAACTGTGCCACTGTTTGCCCAAAACAAAGAAAAATAGAGGGTGAAGGCATGTTACACGACAATGGGAGTGAAGGAAAGGCAGGAAGGTGAGAGAAGGTGCATTAAATGTAGGGACTATGGCTAGTAAAGAGAAGGAGCTGGCTGAGACAATGGAGAAGAGGAAGGTAAATACACAATAATGCCAAAAGTATTCACTCGCTTCAGTTCAATTCAGTTTTATTTATATCGCACCAAATCACAACAATTGCCTCAAGGCACTTTATATTGTAAGGTAAAGACCCTGCAATAATACAAAACAACCGTAGAGAAAACCCCAACAATCATATGACCCCTATGAACAAGCACTTTGGTGACAGTGGGAAGGAAAAACTCACCTTTAAAAGGAAGAAACTTCAAGCAGAACCGGGCTCAGGGAGGGTTGCCATCTGCCATGACCGGTTGGGGTGAGTGGATAAAGATAGGATAAAGACGATAGGATAAAGGAAGAGAGCCAGAGATTAATTATGATAATTAAATGCAGAGAGGTGTTTAACCCCCCCCCCCAGCAGCCTACACTGTAAAAAAGTCAGTAAAATATACAGCAAAACACCGTCAAATTCCAACGGTAATGGAGCGTAAAATCAAAAACTTCCTTTTACTGTATTAAATAGATTGAATAACCGTTAATTGTGAGACTGGATAAAACTTTGTTTTTACTGTAATAAAATGTTGAAATTATAAATATTTTCTGTGAAAACAAATAAATATGCATACATTTTACAATTACATATTGTAATGTTGAAAATGTCTGAAAAACTTAGATTTTACGGTATTATTTGAGTAAAACTACATCTTTTGGGGTTGTGCACATTGGAATTCACAGTATAAAGATGTAGATTTTTAAGCAAACAAAAACATTCATTTTTACAGAAACAAGATGTTAAAAAATAGGGTCCACCGTAATAATACAACCAGTACATACCATTAAAAAAAAAGCAAATATCAGCAGTGAAAGACAATAAAACTGATAGTATTTTTTATTTTAAAATTCAGATACTGATATACAGATTAAAAGTTAGGCCTGCAGTATATCATTGTTAACCTTCTGATAAAAAAAATCAACAGCAAAAGAAGATGTTAAAAATAAAGTTTATGGTTGTGAATAAAATTGATTTCAATAATCTTTTTTAATTATTATTTTAAAACAACTTTATGTTGTTGTGTTTCACGCCATATTATCAGACCACCTTAAGTGGGTCGGCCTTAAATTTTGAATTTGTGTGATCGCTGTTGATTGGTAGCTAAACTGCTGGTAAACTGTGTACAGACGTTTTACGTTCGAATTGCAGAAAAAAAAAATCTGGTAGCAACATTGTGCAGTATGAGCGAACCATTTCACCAAAAAAGGGGGAAGCAAGGCAAGACGTGGCTGCAGCGGTCTGCAGACGTGACTTCTGATCAAATTCGAACCTCCTAAAGAAACAAAGAGCGACGTTACATTGCGGGATGACGTCACCTGAAAATGACCAATAGCGTGGCGCGCTGCTGAGCTGTGTGCCAACCGCTCTTTTTTTCATGCAGGAGACTCAAGTTGGCTTCGCTAACGGACACAGTTTTGAACTCGTATATTAGCGCCATTTATTGCTGCTTGGACCACAGCATCTTCGGAATTTGTAGACATCCTGGCAGCTTACAATTAGTTCGAGGTGAGGTGAGTACATGCAACTTCAAGTTATCTCTGTTATAAAAATCCACCAGCCCAGCGTTTATAGATAATTTTAGCAGTTCGTTTTTTATGAGTGAGGTTGTGAATTTAGTTAGCATTTGTGAGTTGAGTTAGCATTACTGTTGCGAGGGAAGCATTGCTCTGGATTAGTTTCTGTATATGGCGTGCTTAATTCGCTAGGGAGGAATTACCAAAGTACATGGAGTTATGTTAACGTGTAATTTCTGTGGTAAGGTAGTTCAGTCATCAAGGGGCTACGTGCTTCATTGTAAACTGCATCGGAATGAGCCACGTTGTTTCTTTCGGTGTATTGAAGCAGGCTGCAAGCAGACACACCAGGTATGGCGCGTTTAAGGCTCATTTTTACCGAAGACACTGCCCCACCCATGTCACTGGTGTGGTGGTGGTTTCTTCGTTTACATGTGCAATGGCGATGTGTGAACGTCAGTGTCAGAACTCTAAAGAGTTAATAGCTCATCTGAAGAGCCATATTGTGGAAGGACACGTGGTCACTTGTCCAGTAAGAGGATCCACAAATACCTTTAGAGTTAAATCATCTTTTACTGCTCACATGTCACGTAAACACAGAGTTTTCAGACAGCAGCATTGGTGATTTATATAGAGAGTCTGCATGTCAATCATCATCTGTTCCAACCACATCAGATGACTTTGTACCCTTGATTTCCGAGCCTGCTGCACAGTCTTATTACACATGAAGATAACATGGAAATGCCCCCTGAATTCTGTGATCTTTTCTGAGAAACGTTTCACTATTCTACTTAAAATTGCAGGGTCAGTTTCTACTGCCTGCTTCAACCATACAGAACATTGTAGAGGAAATGCAGAACATGCATGAGTTGGGACAGACATACAGTTTGGGTAAACTTGCATCACTGTTAAAAGATGACACATCATCAGAGGAGGACATCAACAAAGTCTGTGAGTCTGTCAAAAGCTATGATCTTTTTTCTGCATGTCATACCGGGCCATTGAGGACAGTGCACTCCAGAGCTCAGATCTTTAAAAAAGCCTTCAACTATGCGGAACCAAAGAAAATATTTTTAGGGAGAGATGAAAACAGAAAAGATAGGTTTGCCTATTATGTGCCTTTAAGAGAGACTTTGAGATGTCTGCTAGAGTCTGATCTGTGGCAGAAATCAGAAGAGCCCTCTACTGAGCCTCCTGCTGATGTTCTGCGTGACATAAGTGATAGTAAGCTGTTTTAAATAAAATGATTTTTTTGGTCAAAACCCATTGACTTAATTGATTTCTATCCATTAACATCTTACATGAAGTATGGGTACCAAATGGTTCCACTGAAACACAGTGTGCTGTCACAATAATGGTGCTGTTAGTTTGGTACTTACGAAACACTGTATAAAAGTGTAGTATCAAGCAAGATCAGCTTCATATTTTAAGACCAAAGGTACCACTTGGTGTAAATTGACCTTTATTCACATTCTTTTATCAGACATCTTGGAAATGGGGGCAGCATAAGGAGTTCCATTACTAAGGTGCTGCCGGACCTGTCTGCCTCAATCCTTGAAATTGTACTGGAGGCACTACAATCATTAGGAGTGGAGACATCTGAGAAACAAACCAGTAAGTATTATGATTTCATTGCACAATAGCCATGAAGGACTTTCTGTTTTTTCTATTATGCTTTGGCCAAGGTCCAAAAAGTACAATTAATCTATTGTTTGTGATATTGTTTTACAGCACCAAATATGGAAATTTCAAGCCAGGCCAGCATATCGTCTCCATCTGTTTTAAGGTTTAAGGGTGGTGGCACAGCTAAGACCCAAGACTCTCTTTCAAGGTTAGTAAAGTAAACAGATTCAAGAAGATATTTTACACATTTCTTTGTCGTCTGTCTCTAAATCTTATTTTGTCTTTATTATGATTAAAAAGGTTTGTTTTGTTCCTGCCCTTTTCAGACACTGAATTTGAGCAGAAACCATAAGGATACTCAAAGGACCTGTGACTCTCAGGAAATGGTGAGATTTCAGGTCATAATCTTTTTTTTTTCCATTAAATTAATTTTCCTTTTTCCCTTTACAATATTGCTGTTTTGTTTTTGTAAACAGCATCAAATGAGAGAGACAGATGAAACAGTTTCAAGACAATGGCAGGAAAAAAAAGCTGAAGATTGAAACAAACCTTGGCTGGAAATATTTGGTATGTGTTTTACCGTAAATCAAATTGTTGAAAAACATTCAGCTACACTGTAACACAGGGAAACTTGATTTGCACTTATTTTGTTACTTTAATTTCTTGTCTCATTATTTTTGTCAGTTATTATTGTTTATGGTGTATGCCCTTCTTGTTTTCCTTCTGAATGCAGAAGGTATCTAGCCAGTCCACAATGAAAGCTTCGTTGCACCCAATGAGTCTTCTGGCAGAAATGATGGCGGCTGTATTCTTTGGTTTCCCTAAACATCACACCCTGCCTGTTTATACGAGGCTCTTCAATTAAGTCTGCACCCAAAGATTCAATAAGAGGTAAGCAGTGGTATTATTCAAGTTTTGCTAAAGAAAGATGGACAGGAGACACTAATCTTAATCAGCCGAGCTCAGGTTCATGTCCAGGTGAGCAGTTTCATACGCTATAAAATGTAGATTGAATGATAGGTCTCATCACCATGCATTCAGCCATTAACTTCAAGTTCTATGATAAATCAATACGAAACTTAAATACGTTTTCCAACAAATTATGATTGTGATTAGGGCTGCGTTGTCTATGTATAACTTTTACATAAGTAGATTTAAAGTATAACTATTGCCAAAACGCAACCTGAGCTGTTTTTTTTTGTTTTTTTTACTGTATAAATTTGATGTGCTCAAATTTATGCCCCGGCCCCCTAGTATTCCCATTCACTGGCTATTGACCACAAAACAAAATCACGGTCAATCTCAAAAACGGCTTGTTTGTCGTAATTATGCTTTTAGATATATGTTTGTCTCGTTTACAGTAAAAAAAAAAACTGAAAAAAACAGCCCAGGTTGCATTTTGACAATAGCTATCCTTTAAGAACTGTATATTTTACACTTAAGAAATCATTTATCATTAGATCTGGTTTTGGCAGCACGTTTTGTTCATTTCTGTGCATTTTGCTCAAGCACTGATCAAACTTTGTCCATTTTTTTTGCTGCAGAGGGGATCCTGCCAGTCCAAAGTGAACTCCTGATGGACATTGAAGTACTCCTGCAGAGCTTGTATCTTCAACACCATGCGCATTAGAAACTCCACCGAGTCCTTTCCTTCACCAAGGCAGGACCCAGTGACTCATTACTGTTGATAGGTCAGGGGCAGGTAATATTTTGTTTCATGTTTATTCATTCCTCCATGGATTACCAGCCATATATATGGACACATGCTGTATTCTCAAGATCTATGCTGTTTTGTAGGAATAGAGAAAATAATATGTTTAGTCTGTTTTCAAATGGTATGTCAAATTTTCTCATTGTTTATCAGTAATATTCTCTACCTTGGTTGTATATGAGCATCTTTAGATTTTCTATATTTAGCGGTTGCAAATGTAAAATGTACGGTAAACCATTTATGTTCCTCATATTGTACTGTATTTTTAGCGGTAAAATACCGGCAGCTGTGGTTGCCAGGAATTTACCGTAAAATGTATCTGGTCAAAATAAAATGCTGTAATTTGTTATACAATTTCACTGTGTTTTTTACTGTCAAAGGTTTTAATAAGGTTTAACATATTTCTGTTATTTTTACAGTTATTTACAATAATAGGGTCTATCCTATTACTGTTAAATTAACAACAAATTACTGTAAATATTATTATATTATTACTTTTTTTTTTTACTGCAAATATCCGTAAAAAGCTATGGAAAGTTGCATTTTTTACATTAAATTGCTGTATAATTGACAAATATATTTGGTTTTTTCTATCATGATTTTGGTAAAATAATACGTTGTCTACCTTAAAAATTAGGGTTACAAAACCAGTATACCGTATTGTCTTTTACAGATTCCACATTTTTTACACGGTATATTCCTGGCAACCACAGCTGCCGGTATTTTACCGTAAATTTGACAGATTTTTTTTACAGTGTAGATCTATTGCAACATAACTAATGGATGATTCGTGGCCACCAGATCAAAACCTAACTATAGAAAAGTAGAGACAATGTCTGTCTCCTGAATCCACATTGAAAGCTGGTGCCACAAAAGATGGGCCTGAAAGCTGAAAGCTCTGCCTCCCATTCTACTTTGAAATACTCTGGGAAGAAAAAGTTAGCCTGCAGTCTGAGCTTAAAAATTTGTGATGATCTTTTAAAAATGAGAGCTGCTCCATCTAAAGTAGGATGGGTGCCGTCTCTTTTAACAAGACCAGGTTTTCCCCAGAGGGTTACCTAATTATCTGTAAAGCCCAGGTAATTGTTTGACACCACTCAGACAATTTAAGGAGACATGTGGCTAAACATGTCACGAGAGGACCAGAGAAAACTACAGAGTCTAATATTGGTTTGGCAAAGTTACACACTGAGCTTCATGGAATGGGTTTCCATGGCCGAGCACCTGCATTCCAAGGACAATGCAAAGTGTCAGATGCAGTGGTATAAAGCACGCTACCACTGGACTCTAAAGCATTGGAGACATGTTCTCTGGAGGGACGAATCGCGCTTCTCCTTCTGGCAATCCCATGGACAATTCTGGGTTTGGCGGTTGCAAGGAGAAAGGTACATGTCAGACTCCATTGTTTCAGTTGTTAAGTTAGGTGGAGGTGGGATTACGGTCTGGGGCTGTTTTTCTGGAGTTGGGCTCTGCCCCTTAGGTCCACTGCAAGGAACTGTTCATGCTTCAGCACTACCAGACATTTTTAAATGTTATGCTCCCAGCTTTGTGGGAACAGTTTGGGGATGGCCCTTTCCTGTTCCAACATGACTGTACACCAGTGCACAAAGCAAGGTCCATAAAGACATGGATGAGCGAGTTTTGTGTTGAAAAACTTGACTGGCCTGCACAAAGTGCACTCAAAAAAATGAATGAGGTGGATTGTTCAGTGTATATTAATTATTTATTTTCATTTTACTTAAAATATATGTTTTTGTTAAGTTAACATATGTTTTTCTAATCAAGTCTACGTAATTGTGTCTATTATTCAACGTACATAATACTAATGTGTTACTTGATCGCATAACATTTAAGTCAATTAGGATCGATATACCTTGTATATCCACAAGGTGGCAGTAATGCAAAAACAGTTGTAATGAAACCGCGCAGAACAAGAAGGTTTCACGGCTTGTGCCTGCTCATGCGCAAGACTTCAAATTTAACTGAAAAAGGCTGTTTTGGCGCCAAGCTACTGTTTCTTTGAGAGGTAAGACCACTTTTTTTCTTTGACTATGTTGTGTAGTATCTATATGTCCAGCATGGTTATATTTTGCGTTTGTCTTACAAGACATGTTATATCGTTTGCGTGCGCTTGTTTTACATTAGTTTTACTGGGTCCTGGACATGCTTATTTTGTGGACTGTGTAAGAAACATTTTTATTGTTTTTTTGTTTTATTAAGGGATTAGCTACAGGGGTTCATGGGGTTATTCTTTCAAGGGGTTATTTTTCCATTTGCTTTCTTGGGATTCCTTTTCTGTAATCCGAGAGTCGGAAATATCGAATAGGATAGCAAGGATAGCATAAAGTGACATTTAAAATCCAAAAAGTCAAGGGCGAAAGCCACTGTGACACCATTGTTCTGCTCTATCAGTAATCTGTATTATGTAAAAATGGTCTGTAAATACAGCATGTTTCCTAGCGGAGTTATACATATCAATGTAGTTATAAATTACAGTTTGTGAAAGTACACACTTAATTTTTTAATAAAATTATTCAAGACATATGAGTGGACAGACAATGGAGGTCGACAGACCTGGTGATAATTGCTTCTATAGAAAGTTAGCACATGGCAGTGTCAATCTCTTGCTTTTCTTCTGAGTAGTATTTTATTTAGTTGTAATTCAAACAATAATTTGCTTCTTGAAATTAAGTAATGAATTTCTTGTTTTACTTTATAAATCTCAGATCCTGCCTTTACCTGCTCCCTCCTATACTGATGTGGTGTATGTGGTATTGCTGAGCTTGTATGTGGTATGTGAACTGTTATACTTTTAAAAACAAAACTGTTTTATAAGTTAAGTTTTCTTTTGTGACCCATCCCATGCCCCTGTTATTTCTTCTCCACATCTGAACCATGGTAAAGGTTGCAGTTCAAGGGCCTGAGGCATGAAATTCTTTTCAGATCAGCTGTGATCAATATTTTTTGGAACTTGATAAATAACAATAAAAGCTGTAATGGCTCCATTAGCATTTTGTGTAAATGTTTGTGTTAAAATTATAGCTTTAATGAGGTCTTACTACATTAGTTTTAGTTTGTATATGTGTACATATAGTATGTATATTTACAGTACAGTATGTTGTGTTTGTTGACATATTTTCAGGTGGAAGCAGAATATGTGAGGATTACTACTGCTGCACATGTTCCAAGGCTTTTTACACAACTTGACCAATACACTGACCAGCTCATAAAAGTCTTCAAGAAAAAAGGAGGCGTTGCAGGGAAGAAAATTAGATAAACTTTGGCCCCAGCCACACAGGTGCGTTATTCTGTTGGTAGCAAAATATTATGGCTAATAAGATCATTTTCAAATTTAAACAGCTAGTGTATGGTAGCTGCACAGTGCACTTACATTTATATTAAGCCAGACAAAGTTTGGTACTCAAAACGTTGGAAAATTTAAATTACCTAAACATATGTAAAATCTGATCCCTTGATTTAGGTTAAACCAGAAGTGAATGTTTTTATGTTATGTTTTGAATGCAAAAAAGATGATGTATTAGTTTGTCTTTACCTCCATTATGGACATATATAATGTGGTGGAAACCCTGCCCAACAGGTTAACTATTCATGTCCATGTGATGATTAGTTGGTCTTGTGTACATGTCTATCTGTGCAGTGGATATGTCATTCATTTTGCGTATAATGTGAGTTTCTGTCATCCTAAAGTATATCTGTTTTCTCTTCCTGTATCTCTGCCACTCTCTACAGAAGGAAAGTATTGAAAAGGGGAGGGAGTGTGTCCTCAGGGCACTACCTTTTTACCTGAATGAAGACCCAAGCATCCTCTTCAAAGAATAATTGGTTGGTAATTTTAGTTTAGTTTTTTATCTGTATTAAACCAAATTTTGAATAACTAATGTTGTTGCATGTTGTTGTTGTTGTAATTTGCATGGAACCTGTTTAAATGTTTTGGGAAATCTTCTTGTATACCCAAACTATTTATATTTATCGTTGAATCTGTAGTCTGAAATAGTGGCACACTGGGGTGCATGTTCCTAATATTGTGTTTACATCATTAAAGGGTAGCTTTGGCCCTTTTTCTTTCTTTTTTTAAAACTGGATGCCATTTTTCTTTGTTTTTGTGTCTAAGCTACAGCTGTTCAGAGGGAGCTGGAACAAATTACCCTTGCTATCTTTACCATCGAAAGAGCTGATGCCAGCACTCCTCCAGCCGATGTGGGTGTAACCATCTAGTGTGTCCTGCATGACCTGGAAGACCTGGCCTCTGCATGTGCACTCTTAATGGGTGGGATATATGCACTGAATCTCAGTTAACCTCAAGACTGAAAGCTTTCTTTGAAGTACTTCAGAAGCTCTTCCTTCATCTGTATGTCAGCATACTCTTGACCAAGGTACAGTTGCTCAAGAATACACTGAATGAATAAGCCAACCTTTAATTTGGATGATGAATGTTCTGTCAGATGGACAGAAGTTTTTCGGAGGCTGAATGGGAATAAAATGGTAATTTGTAAATGACAGATAACGGGAAAATTACATTTAAGAGAAATTTAGAACATTTTGAAAAGTTTGTAAACTACTACAATTTGAGAGATTTTACTGTTGTGGGGGGCTAGTAAGAGACAATCAAAAGTATTGAGATTTAAAGGATTTAATTGAGAGATGATACTGCACCAGAAATGTTGAAGGGTGGTGTGTATATTAGCGTTCAAGGCATATTGTTATGAGGTGGAAATATGTTCATATTCAGTTTGTGTTACATTGTGTGCATTGTAAAGGTAATTGCAATACATACTAAAAATAAGGGTAAGTTAGGAGGTTGATCTGATATCCTCGTGTTGGTGTTGTTCCCAGATCATCATACTAAATGTTGTTCCAGGATCAACATTGCAAGTGACCAATCAGAATGTTGTGACGTCATACTTTTGCGACTTCGGGAAAAACCGGCGTAAAACAAAAAACTGTACTTAAGCTGCGTGAAACCGCCTCTGTCCGCCGATCAACGGACCCTAACCCTAACCGTAACCCTTTAATAAACAGTAAGCAGAATTGATATTGTCCTTGCAACATTGGAATTTCATAAATGCACGAATGGCTTGGCGCACAAAAGAATAACGTCACAACAATGTGACAACATTTTCATGATGGTCTGGGAACAACACCAACACGAGGATATCAGATCATCCAAGTTGGGAATGCAGGATGAATGTATATTTTGTGGCCTTTTAAAGACGAACAATTGTTTCCATGTTAAAATGTTTACATCTGAAGTTTTTTGCCCAAACACTAGTAAAATAAATGTTGACAGTGGCAAGTGTTAAATGGTTACTGCTGTGCTGTTGCAAAAAAACTGAACGCTGACAAGCTGTTTTATTGTTAGACCATAATGTTGGCATGTTTTGTTAAAGTTTTATTTGGGATGGTGATGTAATTTTCTTTGATTGCTAATATCAGTGGACTATTTATTATTATTATTATGATTATTATTGTTGTTGTTGTTGTTGTTGTTGTTGTTGTTGTTACATAAAATTTTTTTTAAATTGTGGCTGTTGAGGTGGACACTTCACTTTGCATTGTTAAAGGAAAGCACTTCATTGGCATTGTGTTACTGGACTGACCCTAAGCAATCATTGCAAATAGCAACTTTGCTATCCATTTTAGACACTAAAAGAAAAAAACACTCACAGACCTTACTAGCATCACATGTGCATAACTCAAGTGTCATCTTATCAATGTGTTATGTGATCTTCAATGTGTTTTTTTTTTTCTCTCTTCTATTTCTGGTAGATACAGACATTTAATTTAAAGTCTTGATGTTGCATCTGTCTACATACTGTTAATTACTAACCCTAATGAGCTGTTGTGTTTTATTTTGGACTGGGTTTACACAAATGCTCACTGAATGTGTTGGCAATAAAAGAAATTTTAAAAAATAAGTTGGATGTACTTAATTCATTTGTGTGGAACCTGTTGACAAAATAGATTTATGTAAAACTAATTAATAAAGCACAAGGTGGCTGAAAATATAATATTTGAATTAATCTAACTTAAATTTAACATTTTACTGCCACAAATAAGAAATGTGTTGAAGTAACTAATCTAAACTCTCTAACCTGAAAATATATCATCTTTGTTCATACAACATAACTTGATTTAGTTAGTCTTAAATATGTCTTGTTAATCTTAAGTAGTTTTTTTTTAAATTAGATGAACTAAAGATTTTTGCTTTAAACTAACATAATTCAATTTCGTGGAACCTGTTGACAAAATAATTTTAATTAAAGTCAACGTTTCATTTTTTTGAGTGTGCAGAAAGTGATTGAACCCTATGGTTTAAGGAAATGTCACTCAAGTTTATATGCATGTCAAGGACAAGAAAATACTTTTGGGCTATACAGTGTATAATGTGTGCAGAGGAGAAGGGACCAAGGCCAGGAACATTGGAAGTGGATTCATAATATTCCATCACGCTAAAGTTACGAAGAGAAATTGAGTAGGAGTAATCTTGAAGGAAGAAGACTGGAGCAGACTTCAATAGATATATGGGTGAAAGCAACATAATGAGGAGGTATTGGGTAGGCATGGAGAGAAATTCACTAAGGCAGATGGTAGTGGCTTTTGCAAAAACAGTGGAAATAACTGTGGTGAACATGTAGGCAAGCTTTAAATGGTGGATAAGAACGAAGCATATTGGACAGAGTTCAGGGAGGAGTTGAGACAGGCTGCATGGTAGCAGTTACCAGATGACTTGTAAAGTGCTGCTGTAGTATTGAAGGGAACTGAAAATATCTGTTTTGTGTATCTGCTGGAAAGAGGAAAGAGGACAAGTAGACTTGGTAGTAGAATGAGGAAGTAAAGGATAACATTCATAGGAGGTTAGTAAAGACATAGGGAGTGACAAAGGGAGATGAAAGTAGACAGGAGTACTGGGAGGCTTAGACATACAGCAAAGAGAGAGGTAGTGAGTTGTGTGTGACGCTGGACACTAAGGAAGGAGGAAAAAAACTTATCAATTGGCTAGATAGAGAGATCAAGCTGGAAAGGGAATGCAAGAGAGTCATTGAGGATAGAGATGGAAATATACTAATGAGGGTAGAGAGTGTGTTCAGAAGGTGTAAGGAGTACTCTGAGGAGCTGATGAATGTTGAAAATGAGAGAGAGAGAGAGAGAGGAGGACAGATGTAGAAAAGTTAATGAATCAGTGAGTACAGGGGATTTGTAAGGAAGAAGTGAGGACAGTTATAACAAGGATGAACAGTGGTCTAGTGACATATTTGTGGAGGTATGGAGATGTGTAGGAAAGATGGGAGTGTGTTGATGGAGAAGTACAGAGAAGGTCAGAAGGAGTTGCACTGTGTTTCTGTGGACGTAGAGAAAGCATTTGATAGGGTGCAATGAGAAAAACTGTGTTACTTCATGCGGGAATCAGGAGTGGCACATAAGTATGTGAGGGTAGTGCAGGACTTGTATGAGGACACCAAGACAGGTGAGGTTTGTGGCTGGAGTGATAGAATGGTCCGGCTGACAGATGAGGTCGGGCGGGAGTCTCCGTGGACTATGACATTCGCAGATGACATTGTGTTCTTTAGTGAGATTAGGGTGCATGTGAAAGAGAGCCTGGAGTGGTAGAGACTAGAGAGAAGAGAGGAATGAATGTAGAATCAAGACACAATACATCGGTGTGAATGACAGAGAGAGAGGTGTAACAATGAAGCTGGCTGCAAGGCGCAGAAGTAGTGAAGTGAACAAGTTTAAATACCTGGGCTCAATCATTCAATGCAATGGGCAATGCACAAGAGAGATGAAGAAGAACTTAAATGGTAAATGGACTGGTTCTTATATAGTGCTTTTCTACTCTAGCTGAGCACTAAAAACACTATATACAACATACCTTATTCACCCATTCATACAATCACTTTTTTCTATACTTAAGCACTTACTATCTAACATTCACACTCAGATAAATGCATTGGAGAGCCACTTGGGGTTAGTATTTTGGCAAGACCAGAGCAACCAGTGATCAAACCACCATACTTCCAGTTAATAAATGACCTGCACTACCTTCTGAGCTACAGCCACCCAATAATGGTCCTCCCTGCAGACAGGGTGGAGTGGGTGAGGACAAGTGTGGGGGTGATTTATAACAGGATAGCAGCAAGAGTGAATGGGAAGGTTTCCAAGACCTGCTGTGGTGTATAGTTTGGTGGCTCTGACACAAAGACAGGAGGTGGCAGAGCCTAAGATTCCAAGATTTTCACTAGGAGTGACCACAATGGACAAGATTAGAAATG